GTAACAACAATCAAATGTACGAAAAGCAATAATGTTTAACACACCGCACAATAAAAGTATTAAATATTGAAATTAACTTTATGTACTTAAAATTTATAGAATACGAAAGCAAGCATACATACATAAATACATATGTATATGTATAAGAAGAATAGAGAAAATAATTAAATACATATGTATATCTACATATAAACATTGAAAAATATTTTTAGCAATTAGTTTTATCCTTATTATTGTAAGTGTGCATTTTAAATTAAAAGTAAACATGAAATAAAACGAAAATACTAAATAAACAAATTAACCGCCAATGTACGAGTAATAAATGCTGAATGCTAAATACCAATACTAAAAGCTAATCATTTTTATATATACGTAGATGTTAACGACTATTTAATAATTTATTTTACATATTTAACTGTGTAAGAAATGCCAAGCTTAAATTTTTTAATTTTGTTTTCCTATAATTTTACATGTATTTTCATCTTTTTACAAGCATTTGAAAAATGTTAAATGATAAATAAGAATGTTAGAGAAGAGAGCGAATAGTTGAGTTCGCTTGGAATTATGGCCACTCTACTTACGTACGTAATTGTGCAAATAAAATATATTTGTGAGTGTAAGTATGTAAGCAAATGGATATTTCAGCCACGAAATTGTACTTGTAATGTTTTAATGTCCACAGCAAATAAATAAAACGAATAATAAATATTAATGATGTACAGTTGAAGCTGCAATGATTTTTTTCTAGTCGATTTTATTTCTTTTTAACCGACTTCCAAAAAAGGAGGAGGTTATCAGTTCGTCGGAATATTTTTTTTTTTTATGTATGTTACCGCATAACTTTGGACCACGACTACCGAAAGGTAGTGTCTCAGGTGGTCCCATACTAATCTGGTTAAGATCCGATCAGTGGATCATGAGATATATATATATATCTATATTTTTTATATGAGAGTTGAAGTCGGTTTTTTTTTGCTGAAAATTACTTGTTTTTTTTTTAAACATCGAGTTTTTGGAAACGAATACTACGTACCCTGCACTAGAGTTGTCATTTGTAAATCGTTTGAATGGAATATCGATTAATCCAGTCCTTCCTATTAAAGTTTTTTCCGATCTTTTAGTTGCGATTCGATCCGTGAATCGATCCAAAAAATTCGAGTATCGATCTCCGGTTTGCCATGGAAAAACCATAAAATTTTAAAGAAATTTGAATTTGAATCTGGTACAAAAAGATTGCCATTGAAAAGCAAACACCCGCCTGCAGCCGCTACTCATAGCGAACAGACGCTGAGGACTTCAGTGGACCCTTCACTAGGAAAAGGAAGATTCCAGGAAGAGGAATATATTGTGGGAATAAGATTGCGGGCGGCTTAGCCAGAACAGCGGCGGCCTTGTCTCCAATAGGTCCCGAGCTATTCCTTGCAATAGGACCAAACACTATTAGCGTTTGGACACTCTGGGGTGCTATATAAAAGGACGGTCCTGATGAGAAACTTGGGGAGTGTTTGTTGTGAGAGAGGACCATATTTTTATTTAGTTTTTTATTACAAATTCCAGCTGTGTCTTGTCCTCGTTCACCACTTGACCAAGCTCTTTTGCCTCCTCCTATAAACCGCAGATTGCTGCGCTATTATGAAATTATGATTTTAAAAAATTTACCACATTTTTAAGTACTAAAGTAAGAATATCTCCACAATAACATAGAAATAATTTATCAAGCAATTAATATTGCAAAAAGCGCATAACCACAATGAACCGCAATTTAATCACAAAATGGTCAGCGCCTGCAAAATATTTTTATGTGTGGGGAAAAAATATGATTCACTTATGTATGTACATACATATATGCTCTTCAATTTGTATAGGCTTTTAAGTAAATACTTTGCAGTGCAAAAATATTTTCATTTTCAAAGGCGCAAACAGGGCGTGTTGCCCTGTAGGAAATTTTGTAGCAAGCAAAAATTTTGTGTTCGAATGTTTCTAGATACAGAAGTTAAGATTTTGTAGTGGTTGTACGTTTCAAGATAAGACGAATATTTTCCTTACACCTTCTGGAATACTGTGTGTTCTTTTCCTGCGTAGTGTAGCAGTCAAAAAAATCGTATGTGTATGTATCCACAAAAATTTCAAAATGTTAAACAAACTTTTAGGAGTTTACAAAAAAAATCCTTTAATAGCAAAAATTTGCCAAATTTTAACTTGAAATCTGATAAATTTGACATATTATTGTAACGTATTCATACATGTACATCCATAAACTCGCTGAGTTAGAGCTGCCCAAAAAAGTATGCATGTTATATGGTTATATGGTAAAAAATATGCAATTTTAGTAACGAAATTAAATACGAAGTTTATCATATTTGTTCATTTTCGTTGCTGTAATTTAAACCATTAACGGGCTTATCTCAATCAATTTAACTGTTCTCCTAAAATATAGAATTTCGGGCATAAACACGATACAACGAATGGAGCTTATTCCCAGTGCACCGATGAAAATTCGTAATTTTACTCCAAAAGAAGTACCTAAGCACATAACGATGTACCTAAATACCTGCATACATACATGCACCTAGTCACATTTCATAGCATTTTATAATTAACGCCCCTAGGCTATGCGAAAATGGGACGAACATTTGCTGCTATCGAAAATATTTATGAAATTGAAAATAATTCAAATATGCGTGCATTTATCACAAACATTTTCAGCGCAAAGGAAGAGAAGCAGATTATTGTTGCCTGCCACTAACTACAAGCTGCATCATTACACGCACGGCTAGCCGAAATAACGCAACGCAATCTGAAATTTCGCAATTTTGGGAAACATTTTTGTAGCGATTTTTAATTTAATAAAACTCAGTTGCAATTGTTTTGGTAAATTGGCAAAAAGGCTAGCAAAGCGGTCAATCATATCGATAAACCGACAAACTCTTATCAGGCATGTCGGCCGCTGGAGCACCTGCACGACCTGCTGTGGTGTAAAACACATCCGCTACATCCGGTGCCGACGAACGCACGCAGTGATGCATTTAATTCACTTACAAATGTGTGTGGGTTCGTAAGTGCATTGCCTTTTTTTTGCTTTTTTTGCTGTTGTAAGCACTTGCATGCATTTGTACCGCCCAACTCCCTCGATTGCATAACGGCAATGAAATAAATCCTTTTATTTGTTCATAATTTCCATAGCGACCACAACAACTGCCGTGCAAACAATGATTTCGTGGCGGTCATTGTGGCTGGAGCGGTGAAGTGTACAATTGCAGCAGCTGTCGCGAAATCTCTTCAATATATTACATACCCAACAGTTGTCCAGCCAGTCAGCCCATCCAATTCCTGCAATTCGGGTATATCTGCAACCACTGTGGCTTTTATTACATTTATTGTCATGTACATATTTTGTTTGTATCGGTTTTTTCGTTTGGTTTCGTAAATCCAATGATTGCATTAATTTATCGTTTATATTCGCATTTTATGTCATAAGCGGCTGATATGAAAGGGGAGGGTGGGCGTGAAGTTAAATTATTACACATATGCCCCTA